TAGCCCCCCCTCCCAGCGCCCGGGCTCCTCCCCTCTCCACGAAGGGGAAGTCGCTTCTAGCCTCAGTTTCACCTGGCTCGGGCAGCCGGGTGAGGGAGTAATTCTCCATCCCAGGAGCGTCTAGGCGCCCCCGGGGAGTGCGAAGAGCGCAGTGTCCTTGGGAGCCGGCTTGGAGCAAGTCGCCTGGCCTCCCTGGACCTCAGGAGGCGCCTCTGAGAAAACTATGAGCCACCGTCGCAAATGTCTCAGACAGTGTTCTGGGCACTTAGCCCCAGGGATGCAACAGGGAACAAGACAAAGTCTACCCATCGCCCTCAAGGAGTTTGCATGGGGTGGGGGTGGGGCAGGCGATATGCAAATACACAAAGAACGTACTGTCAGCTTGTTAGGAGCATTCGGGGGCGGGGGGAGTGATTATAAATAAGAAACGTGGCCAGGGATGGTATAAATAGGATGGTCTCCAAGGTCCCTTTGCACTAGGGCCGTCTAGTAGACGGATAAATGCGATCCCATGGCTGACAGGTGCAGTAAATGCAGGGGGTCCTGAGGCTGGAACTAGAGAAGGGGATGGATGAGTGTGGTGACCAAGGGGAAATGAGCTAGGCCAGAGCGGTAACCGGAGGGAAATCTCCTAGGACCCTGTGGGCCAACGTGAGGAGCTCCAGTTCTGTTGTAAGGACACAAATAAGCCACTGAAGGGTTAGAAGAGGTCGAGGATGGTGGTAAAAGGCCCCTTTGGCTGTTGTATGCAGACTGGATTGGGAGAGAAAGAATGGAAGCAGGGAGACCAGTGAGAATCTGTCTTATCTGCTCAGGCCACTGTAACAAATACCACAGACTGGGTGGCTTAAACAATAGCTGTGTATTTTTTCACAGTTCTGGAGGCTGCGAGTGTAAGATCAAGGTGCCAGCACGGCCACTTTCTGGTGAGGACCCTCTTTCTGGCCTGCAGATTGCTATTGCCTTTCCCTGTGTCCTCACCTGGCAGAGAGAGAAAGAGAGCAAGCTCCCTGATATCTCCTCTTCGAAGGTCCACACCCTCCTGACCTCACCTAAACCTAATTACCACCAAAAGCCCGCTCTCCAAATACCATCACACATGCGCATACTGGGGAAGCATCATTCAATCCATAGCAGGAGGCCATTCCAGAAGTCCAGAGAGGATGGTGACCTAGGCCAGTGATGGTGAACCTATGACACGTGTGTCAGAGGTGACACGCAAACTCATTTTTTTGGTTGATTTTTCTTTGTTAAATGGCATTTAAATATATAAAATAAATATCAAAAATATAAGTCTTTGTTTTACTATGGTTGCAAATATCAAAAAAATTTCTATATGTGACACGGCACCAGAGTTAAGTTAGGGTTTTTCAAAATGCTGACACGCCGAGCTCAAAAGGTTCGCCATCACTGACCTAGGCCAAGGTGCTGGCAAACAGGGATGGGGAAAGTGGACCAATTGAAATAGATTTTGAGAGCATCATGGAAAGCTTGATGATGGATTGGATTGAGGGCATGAATGAAGAGACTCCTAAGTGTTTAGCTTGAGCCACCCATGGGATAATGGCGCTATGACCAACATGGGGAAGACCAGAGAGGAACAGGTTGGAGGCAGAGGGAAATGAAAGGTTCTGTCGTAGACATTTGAGAGCCCTATTCAACATCCTACAACAACAGATTGGTTTGTCTCTACAGAATTCTCCTAATAACCTTATGATGAAAATATACTCTCACTATCCCCGTATTACAGATGGGGAAATGAAGACACTGCAAGTTTAAGCAACTTGCTCAATCTAGGTGTTGGTTTGCAACCTGGGGGTGGGGGTGGGGGTGTCAAAACTAGCCCCATCCACAGCGCAAGGAGAGATGGAGGAGAGAGGCATACCACTCCAGGTTGGTAGGTGGCAGGTTTAATAAGCAGGGAACTTACTAGTATATATGAGGCTCGTCTTGGGCAGCCAAAGACAGGAGGCCTCCGCACCCGCCTGCCAGAATCTTAGCAGTTTATGTCGAGGCCTCAGTTAAATGGTTTCAGTCCAGATGGTCTCAATAATACATTCCTCTCTGGAGGACTCGCCTTTGAAACTGCCCATCTATGGGAACAGTGGGTGCGATCTACATCCCAAGGCCAGGGGAGGAGCTTTCAATTGCCCAAGTTCAGCTCTCAGGTCAACTACTGGCCCGCCCTCTCGATGACCTCCTCCGACAGTGGGTGGCTGGGTACACAGAGCTCAGGGGAGAGTCTGCGGCCAGGGATACGCATTGGGGAGGGCCCTGACCTGGGATTGTACCTGGGATTGTACAAGACCGGCTGGAGAAAGCGTGTAGTGAGAGAAGGAGGAGAGGCAAGGGCTGAGCCCTTGGAAAGATCTCTTCCAACATCTCCACTTACTGCCTGACCTTTCCAAGTGACCTCAGTCACTAAGAGGCAATGAACCCAAGTTCAGTAACTAAGAGGGAATAAGACTAGCTCAGGGATGGAAAACTCGAGGACAGGCAATAGTGAAGCAAGTGAGGTTGGCAGGGTGTGGCAGAACAGGGCGGGGTGGGGCTCTGCCTCCTCCACCCCCCCTCCCCAGGCGTGCACACCTGCCTAAGGGGGCAATGGACTCAGCAACAACTGATTTTTGTGGCATGGGAATATGGACCCTGAGTTCCCAGAGAATCTCATTTTTTATTAAAGAGCCAGAAAATCAGAATATGTTAAACCTCTAGATTTTTAAATGTTGGCAATTAATTTAAAATATTTTTAAAAGAGAATGTATGGGTCAAGACCTTTAGGCAGAATCCAATCCATATATGGGCAGGATTGGCTCTGTTGGCTGTTACTTTCCACCTCTGGGTTAGACAGTGCTTCAGGTCCCTTTAAGAAAGTCCTTGCAGTTTCTGTTCAGTCACAGATGGTGACAATAGTGGGACATAAAAGGATCCAGGAAATCTCAGCTTAAAAACGCAGCCTAGCCTTTCTGGGCATTTGTCTCTACTCGCCTAGTATAGCCTTTCTAAGCCTCAGTTTCCCTACCTGTAAAAACAGGAGGCCAGAGCCTAGCTCCTCCAACATGCCTCCTAATTCTAACATTTGGAGTTATAACAATAGTGTTGTTGTTTTTTTAACTGTTTGTTTCCAAATACGCACAGGGAGTTTGCTTGGGGAAAAATGGGAAGGGTGTTCTCGTCTGGGTCTGCAAATTCAAAAAGCCTTGCTAGTAAGGAAGGGATCAGAGTGAAATAGAGGTTTAGATAAGAAACCAGGCAAATGATGGCGTTTTAATTGCACTATGAATGAGAATAAAAAGGCAATTAGATGCAGGCGTGCTTAACGGTTTTCTATTGAAAATGCAATGTATGGTAGCCAGTTCTCTACATATATCACCAAGGGGTTTGCAGTAATGAGATTCTCTGTCAGGTACACGGGAGGTCAGCTGCATTCTAGCATTATTTATTCTTATGTGCCGAGCTTATGTAATGAGAATAAGCCTGAGAACACATCGTCACCCTCCATAGAGTCAGTCCCCTTCTCCCCACCTGAGATATTGTTTAAAGCTGAGAAGCAGCTTGTGATTTTACAAGTCTCTGGGTTTTGCGTAGGAGTGAACGTGGGGTTGGGAGCCAGGAGACCTGCCGTGTACTCACTGAACAACCGTTCAGCCTTCTTCATCAGTAAAGTGAGAGCTGGACAAAAGGTGGCTCCAAGGAAGATGTTTGCATGTATTCCTCCACATTTCTTGGCGGGGGGTTGGTGGGGGAGTTTTCATTGTTGGAGACCTGGCAATTCCCAGGGTCAGATCTTTCCACAATTTACCTCCGAGTCCCCCAAAGTCCTGGAGGCAGGGATGTCACCTAAGTTGGGTCAATTAGATGCTCACTCTTGGGACTTAGTCTCTCCAGGAAGTGACAAGGATGGAGAGAAAGAGGTTGGCCATGAGGTTGGTCAGACTGAGGGTGGCCACAGCAGCAGCCTGAAGAGGCTGGACCAGCGGTTGCTGCTTGATCATGAATCTTGTGAGCCAACCCCCAGAACCCCCTAGGTCTCTGCCAGTTTCTCAAGCCCTTCATGCCATCCCTGTCCCCATTATTTTGTGGATTTCCCACCTCTACTAAATTCCCTTCTTGTGTTAGCAGCCCAAGTTATTTCTCTTGCTTTAAAAAAAGAAAATACATATATATCCAACATAATAAAAGCCTAATATCCTAAATGTCCAGTCGTTCATTCAACCAATCAAAGCATAATATGCTAATGATATGCTAAGGATGCTCAACCGCTCACTATGACATGCACTGACCACCAGGGGGTAGATGCTCCGACCGGTAGGTTAGCTTGCTGCTGGGGTCCAGACAATCGGCACTGAGCGAGATGGGCCAGACACACCCTGGAGCCCTCCCACTGTCCCTCCCCAGCTGGCCAACCTCCCACTTCCCTCCCCATCCCTGATCATGCACTGGTGGGGTCCCTCAGCCTGGCCTGTGCCCTCTTGCAATCTGGGACCCCTCAGTGGATGTCAGAGAGCCAGTTTTGGCCCAATCCTGCAGGCCAGGCTGAGGGACCCCACT